AATGTGGAGATTGGGATCTAGAAGCATCGCAGACAATGCAATAGACAATTACCAATAAGCACAAGCCTTGCTGCTTTGATAGCCTCAAAGCCTTGAACAAGTAGGGAGAGAGACAGAAAGGAGAGAGAGAGAGAGAGAGAGAGAGAAAGAAGAAAAAAAGAGATTACTCCCCCCACCACATATACACCGGAAAAAGAAATGCCTACTTCCCTTTAACATTCCAGGTAGGGATTAATTTCCAGAAAGGCAACAATTGTGCTAAATTAAATTTAGAAAGATACAGAAACGGTCCTTTTACTTTATTGTGCTGATGCAGCACAATGTTGCGTGGGTGTATGTCTCGAGTGCATTCCTAGCAGAAAAAAACAAGGCAGAAAGGGCTGCACGTAGCTAGACCTGCGTGTACCACTCTTCATGGCAATCTTTTCACAGTCCAGACACCCACAACGTACTCGTTTGCAAGGTTATAATATGCCACTAAACGTGTACACACACGTAAAATGCCATGCAGTACCGCGCCTGAGCTGCGGTTGCACTACACGTGTGCCCATTGTGAAAATGCACACCCACTCTCCATGGGATAGAGGGATGATGGACAGACGGACAAGCAGGCACACACACACACAGCGCGCGCGCGCCCGAGAGAAATCGAGCGCGCGCGCGCGCGTACACACGGCCCCCCCCCATACACACACTCGCGTTATCCGCACCCTGTGTGGACCCTCGTCGCGCGCTTATCTCTCACACTCTTCTGCACGAGCGCGCGCTCGCGCACACACCCCAACAGAGAGAGAGACCTATAGAAGCTCAGTGCAGTCGCCACCAGTTAGCCAGTGTAAACAGGGGCGACGTGACTAGGCCCAAATCTACCCGTTCGGGAGAAAAAAAGGGTGGGGGAAGATAAAGCCCGCACCGTGCTCGTCGCCGCTGTCACCGCCGCCGCCGCCGCCGCTTTCCGGCTCGAAAAAGTTCCCGTTGGAACCGGGGCTGCTGCCGCCACCGCCGTTCTTGGTGCCGTTGGGGGCCGCCCTGTTCTTGGCGCCCACCAGGAGCTCGGCTCCTTTCTCCATCATGCCCGGCATGACGGTTACCCAAGAGAGGGACGGCCGGCGGTGGCAGCCACTGCCGAAGGGGGGGAAAGTTAATATGGAGCCGCCATGTTGGTGCCCCTTTCCCCCGCCCGCCCCCCCCGCGGCTCGGGCCGCCGCGGCGCCGGCGCCTCCTTCCTTCTCTTCCCCCCTCCCTTTACTCGACTCCTCCGCCCACGGATCGGGGATCCCTCCGCGGCAGCCCAGCCGGATCTAGCCTCACACGTTGGAAACGTTCGGCGAAGGCGGGAGCGCCGGCGCTTTGTGGATCGTCTTCTGCCGCGGGGAATTGGCGGGCCCGGTGCCGGTCCTTCCGCGGCTAACTGGGGTCGTCTTCGGTAACCAAGCGCCGAGGCTGCTTCCCTTCAGCTCGGCGGGACCCCTCGCGTGAACCCGCTCTGCGCACGTTGGTCTCGCTCGTATCTGAAGATTTGCTGCTCCCGGGTTAAATAGATCTTTGAGCGTGCCTTTGGCATACGAGGATTGATGCTCTCTGGCTTCTTTCATTGCTTAACAATGTCACCCTGTATTTTTATGCTTCACTGTTTTAAAGTATTAGGCGTGAACTTGATATGGTTGGGGTTATTGGCACGAAGAATTGGGAAAGAGGAGGATGAAACCTTCCTTTCAGATTCCCGGGAGTTGTGAAAAGAGTGGGAGGCGAAAACATTGGGTGGGGGGATTTTCTATATGGGGTTACAGGGAAATTATTGTAATCCGCCATAAAAGTTTTTGAAGGTTATGTTTAAGCTTGTGTCCTTTGGGCTGAGAACTTGGAATTTCAACATTGCTGAATGTGTGAAATGAATCAAGTGGGATGGGATCCAATTGCTGTTCAGGGTAGGAACTCAAAAGTACTCCAGGCAGATGCCCACCTCTGCTTGAACTCAGCCCCATAAGGGGATCACACCACTTTTCTTGGTAAGTACTTTGGCTGCCAAACTCTTCTTTCTGCTGTATTAGGAACGGATTTTATTCCTAACATTCCATATGTCATTTTATAACTGAACCATTTTTCTGTATCTGGCACTTGGTGTTTTGTCTGACCAGTTGACAATTCCTGCTGATCTTGTTTAGGCTCTGAAACTAAGCAGAATTGGCCCAGGTATATTACCTGTCTAGAAGATCTCCAAAGGAGTGGCAAAAGTAGAGGCTAGTCTGGGGAGACAAAGCAAAGTATTCTAGATGAAAGCAGTGACTTTCTGAATTCCCCAGAAAGCCATAGGATTTTCCCCCCTGGGGTTTAGGGCATTAAAGCTTGGCTCTTCCTTGTGCTTGGTTTAAATCACGGGTGTCAAACCTGCAGTGTCACATGACATATTACAACTTTTTCCCTTTGCTAAACCTGGCATGGGCGTGGCCAGCACGTGACACATCCGGCTCATGGGCCACGAGTTTGACAGCTCTAAATGAAAGTGGATGTTGCTGAAAAACAGAAGGCTTTTGGAGTTAGAAGGAATGGTTTGTGATTTGTGTGGCATGGATATCTAAAATACATTGAAACTAAGGTTAATGTAGATTTTAAAATTCATTTTGTTAGATGTGCCACCCTGAGAATACAAAACAGATATAAATCTAGGCTATGCCTTGGTGGATCTCAGCAC